AGAGAGAGAGAGAGAGAGAGAGAGAGAGAGAGAGAGAGAGAGAGAGAGAGAGAGAGAGGAAACTACTTTTGTATACAACGGGTTAGAAAGAGGATATGGGTTAGGAAATTTCGAAAAGACGCAAAAATAAAATGGGAAAATTTAAAGAAGATTAGAAAACTATCGAGAAGGAAAGAAATTAATAGAATATGAAAAATTGGGGAGGAGGGGATCGAAAAAAGGAATTGAAGATATGAAAAACGAATACAAAAGCTTGCAAGGAAAACGAAAAAAAAAAAATATATAAAGAAATCCAAAGATAATATGAAAATTACCAAAAATTTTAAAAAGAATCGGTTATGCAAAGAATATTTTTTTTTAGAAAAAAAAAAAAAAATAAAAACGAAGCCAAATAATTGAAAATAAAATTATGTTAGATGGATTAACAGGAAATAAATTGATTTACTCGCATTCACCTTTTTAATTTAAATTCTCCTGAATGAATAGATGAATAGTTAGAATAGAAACTGCTTTCTATCGTAATTTCGAGAAAAATATGCTCGATCGTATCGATCCATACACTTTCTTTGATACGAATACATTTAAGAGACCGTATTTTCATTCGAAACAATTAATTACATTCATATTTTTCTAAAAATACACCAATACATTTGGAATAAGGAATAAAATGAAAATCGATGGGAAGTGAAACGAGGAGAGAACAACGTACACAGACACATAGGCAAGCAGATACATACAGTGTGAAAGACATGATACGAGGAGAAATAACGAAAAGGAAATCAAAGGAGAGAAAGAGAGAGAACGTGAAAGAGAAGAAAATACTCAAGCCGTTATTCGAATAGAGGTACACAATCGTTGGAAAGAATTAACAGAATAACAGAAATTTTATCCTTCTTATCCTTACTTTTTTTTACTACCATACAAATATCTTTTCTAACAAACACAAATCTTTTAGAATCACTAATTATAAAATCTTTAATTCAACTCTTCGAATTCGTTCCTATTAATTCTTTGCGCTCCAGGCCTTTTTCGCTCGGCCGAATCAACACCACACCATTTCCTGCACGGTGAATTTCTTAACTTCTAACTTAAAATGATTTCACACATGAACAAACGTAACTTTTATATTTTAATATTTTATAGATCTTTACGTATATAGAAATAAAATTTGTTGAATATTAAAGTTTATATTGTTATTTTGTGTGATATTTTAATAGTAAATTAAGATGCATTTTGTGTTTATTAGGGCAAGTATCGCAATAAAATGTCGTTTGATATCTTTCTTATTTCTTATTGAGAAATCGAACCAAACCTTACGATCCCAATAATATGTTTTTACATTCATCCTTTATTATTCTTATTTTTCATCTTCTTATATCATATCTTTATTTCCATGGCTATTTTCCTTCTCTCTATTATCAATTTCTTAATGAATAGAAATAATTTTGTTGTTTAATAACGAAAAATTAAACTCATCTTTGCTCCAACTAATCTTATTATTGTATTCCATGCTTAAAAAACTGGAAAACTTTGAAAATATTACTATTACCACTGACAAAAAATATAATTCGATCCGCGATCCTACGCTTCATAAGATTATACGTAAAGAGGTTAGGAATCTATTCGTGAAGCGATATTTTAAAAAAATCAAACACAAATAAATATCGTCGCCGAAAACGTGGCATCAAATCATCAAACCGAGTAGTGGCCGAGAGTCACCATTCGAGCACAAAGGATTAATATCCTCCAACGATTATCGTACCCAATTCGATGCGAAACGAAATAAAGAAAGAGACGCGGGAATAAACGAGGAAATCGATCGGTGAACCGATCGAAAGGAACGAACGTGTGCGATCGTGCATCTCTACATCGGTCGGTTCTGATCGGTTCGCCTCTAACCCGTGGTTGAACGTTGTGAAGAGAGGGCGTCGTCGCGGACGACGACGACGGTGACGATAGCATAACGTGATTCGTGCTCGAGATGGAAGAAGACGTGGAAGAAGAAGAGGTAGGCGAGACGCGTTGGTGATGGTGATGATGGTGGTGGTGGTGTTGGTGTTGGTGTTGGTAGTAGTGATGGTGGCGCTGGTGGCGATGACGATCCGCGTCCGTGGTGATGGTGGTTGCCTTTGGCAGCAGCGTCGATCCAGCCGCGTTGGCCGACGATTTATTATCGGCGATCGGGGAGGCGGATCGGCGCAAGCAACGATCCGGCAGCACGAAGCTCTTCGATCTTCCTTCCAGCATGCCGACAGCATTCTGCCAACCACGGTCGGCGAGAGCAGCTCGTTCAACGGGTCGAGCCGTCACCGTCCAACGATCTTTCTCCACGCTATCTTTCTCCCTGTAGCCGCGTGGTGGCAGGTCGAGCGCGCTCGCGCTCGACCATTGCCCCGACGGTCTCACGCGACATCTTTCGTCATCCACCACCGCATTCTCTCGACCGTTCTTGGGGACGAGCTCGACGGTTCTCGAGCTGCTCACCGCCGATACCCTTACATTGCGACCAGTCTCCGGTCGGTAGGAGAGGCTGAGAGCGCGGTGGCTCAGCTGCGCGTCGCCGAGATCCTCCATCTCTGTACCCTGAGGATGTCCATTGTCGTTCAACCACTTTCGTATTTTTTGTTTTTTTAATTTTGGTTTTTTTTTTTTTTTTTTTTGGTTATACGAGACTCGTGCGTTTCGTTGTTGGTTCGTCGTTGATTGGTTGGTTGGTTGGTTCGTCGGTGCGGCATCGAACGAGGAGGGAAGACGAGAAGACGCAAGAAGTGATGGTGGTCCAAGAGGATGGTGGTCCAAGGTGCACACGAGCACGGGATACGATAGGCAAACACCAAAGACACGCACACACACATGGACATCGATCAAGATACTTGTGTATTTGCAGGAAGAATTTTTTCTTTTTCTTTTTTTTTTTGTTTATCGATGGGGAGGAGGGGGATGATATTTAATTGGTTTTTTTTATTTCCATGCATTTTTTTTTAAGTGCAGTTAAGAGGGGTTTTTTTTTTCAATTACACATCAGAAAAGCTAATTTGATAGATCACTCAGTTTCGAAAGAGCGATGATCGAGAAATATATAGATGATATTTTTGATTCTTGGATTATATTATTTTAATTGTACTTTATTTTAAATATTATTGCGTGTAAATGTAAAAAACGTATAAAATTGTTAATTGTTTCTAAAATAAAATAAAGTCTTGTGTTACATTGCTTACTCAATGCTCAATTGTTAAGATTTACAACGAAAGCTGAAATTATGTTGTCAAAGAATTAATAACAATTTGAAGTTTAATCTTGAATTTTAAAATATCAATCCTTCAATTGTGCGAGGAGAGTGAAAGTGAATGTGAAGGGGAAAAAATGGGATCTTATTTGACTAAGATTAAATAAAAAAAAAAATGGCGTACCCCGTCAAATATGTCCATGACCTCGTCCCACCACTAGAAAAATAAGATTAAATATAGCGTTAATCTGTACGCTAAATGAGGTTAAAGATGATATATGTTAAAATTGAAAAAAATATATATATATATAAAACTGATGTATTTTCGTCACTACTTTTCATCTAATATACCTTCATAACAATTTAATCCGCTCTCCTTGATATTTATAAATAATAATATAATAATCTTTTACAATGCGATTGATATTAAATATAATTTCATAAAAACGATTGCAATCGTTAAAAAGAGAATCCAGAATAAAGTACCAATTATTAATTTAAAAAAAAAAAAAAAAAAGAATNAAAAAAAATAGAATTAAAATAAAAAATTTCCACCGAAAAAAATTCTCAGATGAAAAGTTAGTCACCGTATCTGATCGCTAAAAGCAGCGCTACGGAAGCTAACCAAAATAACGGAAAAAGAAAAAATATAGAAAAAGTATAATATACGATAAAATATAATCTGAAAGCATGGACGAGAGATTGCGTGCGCTCGATATATATCTTTGAACACATCGAAACGTTTCTCATATATATATATACACGTATATTCCAAAAAAAGAAATGTGACGTTAAATGATCGGTCACGCGGGCAAAATAGAAGAAATAAAATAAAACTCGAACGAAAGAAAGAAGAAGAAGAAGAAGAAAAAAAGTGATGTGGCATCTGTTTAAATTGTTCTGACAATCGGTCGTTATAATCGTTACCTTCCTTCTCGTCCGTGTGACAGAAGTCGGCTAGAAAGCAAAGCCATTTCAAACGATCAAGATCGAGGCACACTTTGATTCGGGAAGCTTCTACGTACCGTGTATGTGTGTGTTATTTGCCGATAATTTGCGGCCGATTATTAATGCGAGTTAAACAAGCGATCGCTTCGACCAATTACGCGTAATTGTAAGCGCGCGAAAAAAGTTTAGCTCGTTATCTAATCTTCGTTCAATGGAACACTGTCGGTGTCTTGACGGGGCAGAGAAAAGGTGCCGATTTATTTTCCAAGCGAAGGATTCCTCTTCGAAATAATTCGCCGTGAATCATAATTTTAAAATTTTGATATTTTAATGTTTTAATGGTGAAAAAAAAAGGGAAAAAATTAAATAACGTTTCTTCGATGGTAAAGAAGGAAAAATTAAAAACTAAGTATCCGATTGAGAAACTTAAAATTATTTGAGCGTTAAAAGATCGTGGTACTTTTTCTCTGTTAAAGATAATCAAGATAATTTATTTTTCCGTATTTTTTGCGATGATTTATGCGCAATGATTTTTGTCCAAGTATTGTACAACGAATTTCGATGGAGGGAGAGAGAAATGTTGTCGAAGGAAATTCGTATGTATAGAGAGAGAGAGAAAAAAAAAAAGAAAAGAAAGAATAGGGTTGCAAAGGGATGGATCAAACTCGAGAAGATAAAATTTACGTACCTCCTTGGCTTCCTTTTCGGCGATTGAAGATCGTCCAGGTTCGTAGTCCTCGATACGGCCAGGCTGATTTTTATAAACCTCCGAACTGTACTTCAACGTGCCATTCCTCAAATAAAAAATCGTAAAATTTATCGTTAAAAATAAAAATGATCTCAATCCCTTTCCCTTTTTTTTTTAAATAAGTTATTACACAAATTTAAACTATCTATGTTAAATTATTATACAATAATAATAAACGATAATATATTTTTATTATCCCTTCCCTTTTTTTAAAAATTGCAAATAATTACATGTATTTCGAAAAATCATCGGAGAATAGAAAATTGATAAAAATTGAATTAAAACGAAAATTCATATCCTACTTTCTAGGCATAGTCGACGTAAAGAAATCATTTTCCTTGTTACGAAGGCGTCGACGACTGTCTAGAGTGGCGGAATATAAACGGTGTTCCGGTTCGCTTAAATATCCACTTCCGTAACCGTATCTCGTTCCTAGAAAAAAAAATACATTTCGATTAGATACATCAACACCAACCTTTCTAAATTCGCTTAAACGCGTGTTAAAAATTCTATCGAGTTCATCCATCACCGACAAATATACGAAAAGTGATATATATGTATATTATTACACACATATTTGCGACAAATTTCGAATGGATTCTATATCATTATTTATTTACAAAGAATTTTCTCAATTATTATTTACAAATTTATATTTGAAATATTATTAAAAAATTTAAATTTGGACTATGTATATACGTTATATGAATATTAAAATTAATTTAACGTTAATAACGTTTATTATGATCTAAATTTCTAAATGTCTCTTTTAGCATGGATGTATACGTTACGTGTATTTGTATGGAAACAGAAGCTGAAAAAGGGGAAACGATCGATTAATCGGTAGCAGGATGTTAAAAAATGAGGGCAGCACAATGATCAATTACAATCGGATCGGTTATTGTTATTTTCACGCACTAACGATTAGGATGGTTAATATATCGATCGGCGTGTATCGACACGCCGTTTGTGCCACACTGCGAAACGTCAGTGATTTTTCTATGTTAAAGAACGAAGCGAAAAATCGACCGAAGAAGAAGAAGGCCATTATCGTGTTAATTTCTAAAGCTCTCTCTATTTTATTAGTATTCGTATATATATATATATATATATATTATTTTTTTCGTTTCGTTGGACTGTGTATTCACCTCTTCTCTGTTTGTAACGAATGGTTACGTAGTCATCTGAAAATGAGATTAAATATTAATCTCACGGTTAATTTTTTCTTTTTCTTTTTAACATTCCTTTTAATATCGTTATGTTAAATATTATTGATTTAAAATTATTTTAAATTACGCTATTCTAGTAGAAATTTGTTAAATTAAAAATTCTGATGCTCAAATTAATTGAAAAAAAAAAACAATGGAAAATTTTTGGTTACTTTTAAGAAAATTATTAAATAAATAAAAAAAAATAGAAAAAAAGAAAATATTATACTTGATTAATTGCTAACACAATTTCCAATTATATGCTCGTGTTAAGCATCGAAGCTATTGTCACAGTATTGTCGCATGAACTCACCGCTTCTGTCTGCACGATGCAACGAGTCGTACATTTTCTTATACCACTTTGTCTGATTATTCTCCTTGACTTCCTATAAAATGTTTCTTTACTTAAATGAAACGTAGATTCTCTAATTCTAAAATGAAAAGTCAATTCAACATATTTGGACTATAAACATATTATTCTTCAATTAAATTAATACCTAATGAATCAATTAAATATGTTATTTTTATAATCAGAATTTTAATTATAGAATCAAAGTACTATTAATATTAATCTTGTTAAAAGTTTTAACCAATAATTAATAATCAAGAAAATTTTTAATATTATTAATATTTTTAATCTTGTTAAGACTTCCCAGCCAATTAATCAAATAATTAAGAATCCAATATTTCCCTCTTCTTGTTAATTATATACCTAAAGCTTCTATTAACTGTTGACAGATGGAGTGACCTACCGATCTCAAAACAAGGGGAATACCCTCCTTAGATGTTGGGCCGATACCCTCGAATTTTCGAGGACCCAAGTCGGCCATCTTCTTCGGCGGTTCGTTTTCCGTTTCCGGCTCGCTCTCGTATTCTTTCTTCACCGTGTATACTGAGCGGACATCATTTTAATTTCACAATGCGGAAAACCGTGAAAAGAACTCGGCTCAACCGAACTTTGTCGCGAAAGAAAACTTTTTTAAACAACGATTTATCGTGTAAAGTTGCTACGAGAGTTGGTTGGCTCACCACTTCAGATTTTTAAAATTACAAAATTTAAAATGTGAATCCATGGAGCAGAGAGAGCTTATGGACAGTGATACACGGTTATAATGTAATATTCAACCATGAAACATATACTCACTGATCTCTCCTGGACTAATTATGCCTTTCTCATCACTGGATGGACGCTTTTCCGTCTCGTTCTCTTCTAGATAGGCTGCTCCCTTTGGCAATTGTCCTTCTAAGATTTTACAATAACAATGATATATATATATATATACTTTTAATTTTATAAAGTATAAAAGAAATAAATCTAAGGAAACTTTAATAAAAAAAAAAATCTGTATAAGACATGTTTTTCAAATATTTAAAGAAACAAAATTTGAGAAGAAAATTGTAATTGGAAAATAAAAGTTTAATCTCTCTAATTTTTAAATTTTATTTCTTTTAAATTTAATCACAATCTCCGATTGCTTTGTCAATTAATTTACACTACGTTGTATCTCACCTCTTGCTTTTTGAAGCAGTGTTATAGTTGGATTCTGAGCACGTGGCAGTCGAGGCGTTGAACTTAATGAATTTAATCCCTGCGACGGTGCTGAGTGGGAATTGACAATTCGCGAACTGGTACTAGTGCTCTCATAACTACTTCTTGTTATTTCCTTCTTTTCCACTTCCGTCTCCCAAGGCGGTAGAGTTTCCTGTGTACTCTAACAGAATTCAATTATTAATACCAGAAAACTATACCACTGTCAAATAAACTCCAACGCTATCTCGTTCATTGTACATGAACCAAGATAAAAATTATCCATTTTATATTCCTTGAAAACATTGATCAATATTTAAATCAATAATACAAAAAACAGACAAGAGAATGATATTAATAATTATTAATCCAACGAAATGTCACAACTTTTTATCAAAAATTAAAAAATGTCATATTCGAAATCTCCTTATTTTGGATTCAATTAAATATCGATTTTTCCAAATTGTTAAGCAAGTTTAACAATATTTAATAATTCATATTTATGTAATTTTTTATTTTGATGATATAATAATAATAATAATAAAACTACGAACCACTTGCACAACATATAATTCTAATTATTAATAATATCATTGAAATTATGTAATAATTATAATTTTATATTATGAAAAGAGCACATGTATACTGCATATACTTACTTGTAAGTACATATGATAAGTATACATATATTTAATTCTTTCTATAATTAAATGTAATTATAAGAAATATTTAGAACTATTATCAATAAAAAATTTCCATCTATCTAGCTTATCTATTGTATTTTAAGTTCTTCATCAAGTAAACATACTAAAATAATTGGATCAAAGTATCAAAGACTACAAATTATCTCTACTTACTTAATATTACAACATAGAATAGATAAACAAAATTTAATCGCAGATTAAAATACTTTCTTTAAATAATTCTTTCTGACATCATTTTCAACGTTAACACCTTTTTCCAAAGCCCTAAATTTTACGGTTGAACGTGGATGGATCGTGAGTGTTGATAACTCACTTCTTGCTGCGCTAGCTTCTTTCGGCTCAGGGTAGGGCTCTCGAATTGCACCGGTCGAAATTCCTTTTTCTCGGGAATTGGGCTGGCTCCAGCGCTGGAAGGCGTCCAGATGGGTGGTATGCCACCATCCTTTTGAGATTCTTTCCGCTCGGGGCTCGGCTCCTTCGGGGGTGGCTCGCTTCCAGGTGACCAAACGCCTGGAAAACGTTCGCGCGGTTAGTCCAAGATTTTGACTTTGATCGATTATTGTTAACTTAACCCTTTTGTCTCTACCCAAAAATCCGTTCTCACTGGAGAAACCAGTTCACCAGTTTTCCATGTAAAAGAGGGTATTGACAAGGGTTAATATTCATTAGTAAAGTAACAAATCCAAGCTCGATCACATATTTACATAACTGGCGTGTCCTTCAAGTAAAAAAAAGCTTTGGTACGTGGATTTTTAACATATCTCAAGATTGCAAGTGTAATTCAGTTAGGGGTTGATTATTTGAAGCACTAATAACAATGCCACATTTGGAAACAAAAATAATATAAAAGTATTTACCATATCATTTGGTATCAATTGAATATTCTATTTGTGAATATTTTTTTTAAAAAAAAAAATTAACAAAAATCCTCTCGAATAGAACTTTCCTCGATTTTCGGAAATCGTTCCAATTCTTCTTTATTTCGATCGATAGAATTTCCAACTCGAACGAAACACGAGAGAAAATAGCCCCAATGCCTCTTTTACACCAAGCAACCATTACAAAATCAACGATTCCATAAGTGTGAGGGGTTTGCTAATCTTGGCCTACGTGGAGGCGGTATTATATATGTATATATATATATATATATATATAAAGAATCGTTCTTTACGCGTCAATTTCTCGCTCCGTTAACGCGAGCGGAGGCAAGAGAAGGGAAGGAAGCAATTTTTGGGACTGAAACGATCGTCACGCTAATTATCCACCCTCGTTCGTTCTACCTTCGTGCATTTCGAAATGGTCGTTTGGTCTTCGAGGCAGGGGAGAGAGAGATCATGTTTTTCGAATTTTTTTGCGATTTTTTTTTCTTCGTTTTTTTTTGTGAAAATGACAAATGTAATTAATTAATTAATTAATTAATTAATTAATCAATCACACACGTGTATTTCTTTTTTTTCAATTATTTTTATTTCTTTCAATTTATTTTTTCTCAATTCAATTTTTTCAATTAATTTTTCTTTTTACGCGTTTACGTGTGTTAAATTTGTGTATCAATTGTTATTATAAAGGTTATTATTATGGATATTAATATTTCACGTGTAGATGTGTTGATATATATATATATTTGTCCAACTTATTTAGAGAATCGAAAATTTTATGATCTTTCTTCAATGATTTTAAAGAAGAAGAAAAAAAATGAAATAATTGTTAAGTAATTTTTTCGAATTTAGATTTAATATCTGTGGCTCGTGACATTAAGAGCAGGAAATAAGTAACACGGTTCACTCGTAAAATTAGAAATTCGTGGGCGTCGATATTAAAGTACGTCTAATTGGATAGCACTATTATAGAAAAATATCTGTTTTTACAGTGCAATGCAACAAGCCAATATTACAATATATTTAAAATTATACCCAAGAAATATTCACGCATTTTGATTTTCAATAATTTTGTAATAATTTAATAATATTTAAAGAAAAAATAATAATATTTATATACATTATCTGGTAATGTTTTTTGGATCAATTATTTTCAAGTTTAGATTTTTATTTAATTTTAGTTGTCGTTTTTAGATCTTCGTTCTATTCACTCATTCACATGATAGATATTTACATGATGTATAATTGTAGTTGTGTGATTAAACCACAAGCATGCACATCTGAAAAAAAAAATGCAAGACACTCAGTGTTAATGTTAACATTGCATAATTTTTAGTTTGAAAATTTGTAATCAATTCTCAAAAATATTATATTACATGTATTTTTTTCAAATTTCTGGTTTCTCGTTTCATTTGCAACTTTACCTGGTGTTGCGGAAGAAGCTTTAAACGTGGGAGCGAACATAACGTTCTCTGAAAATCACCAATCAGTATATTTTAACTTATTCGAATAATAATTCTATTTTTCTTTACTAAAAATAAGAGTTGATCTTGAAAAAAAATTAATTAATCGAGAATAAATTATTTAAAAATAATATAATATTCCTCTTTTCAATCACAAATTATTGTTCAAAATTCTATTTATAGTATAATTAAGTTCAACATAATTGTCCTGGTAGATTAAACTTTTTCATTCATAAAAAATTATAGTTACTTACTATATAATTTGTAATAGAATTGTAATATTTTGATTGCATGAAAGAGGAACTCGACAAACGTATCATCTATTTCATATCAAGATACATACACTCATTAATCACTTCTCCTATTTCAAACGCTCTATTTAAAGGTGATATCCGCATTGACAAGCAACGTGACCTTTGGAAGCATGCCACGATTACTTTTGTTGAAGACACACATCGATTTCAAATAAAAAAGCTTCCTTAAAGTGAACTCCGAAAATAATACACAATGATATGTACAAATTGTTGGACAAAAAGTTGGTGGAATGTCTTTTATTAACGATATTGCGATTATATTTTTTATATTATGAATAATATTCTCTGATATTAATCTAATAATAGTATAATATTTTTAATTTACGATAATTAATACGATTTTATATAGCAGTTTTAGTTTTTTCGTTTGAAAATGGAAAAATTTCTTATCGAAATTTATGAGATAAATAAATAAAAAAAAAAATCCTTGATTTTTGATATTAATAAAAATAATTCAAAATTATTATTTTTTTTTCAATATTTCAAATTCTATTCGTAATCATACGATTTTTTAAAATTTAAATTAATAATAATGAAAATCATTACTCGTACAGTTCACAGAAAAAATTATTACACTCTTGTATATATCAAAATCTCGTTATGAAAAAATTTTATTAAATCAAAATAAACTACTATTTTTAATTTTTTAATACGATTATTTAATACGATAAGATTTTCTTTTTTTTTTTCTTTCTCTCTCTTTATACAGAATATATCAGAACGCTTTTATAACGCGAAAAAAGATTCACGGAGACGCTATTTTTTTTTTTGCTTAAATCGTGATAAAGAACGCACTAAAGACTTCTCAAATTGCTTCTTTATAAGAACGATGCGGATCATTAATAGAGAAGCAAGGTTGATGAGCTTCGAAGTAAAAAGAAGAGGATGAAAGGGGAAAAAAAAAAATGAATAGAAAAATGTAAGAGAAAATGATAAGTATCTTTTGAAACATTCTATAGAGTTTATAATTTTATAACATTTGTTAATTAAACGAAAATTTAGAATGATGTCACATAAAAAAAGTCATTTCATTTTTTATGAACATAATTTAAAAAATGTAAATTTTCATGTAATTAATTTCTTCTTTAACGCGAGTAATTTGAAATTTTTATTCAAAATTAAAATAAAATACTAAAAAATTATGTTAATTTTGATTACATGTAAATAGGATGTTAAAAGAAAAAAAAATTTTATTCCATGAAATATGAAATATTATTTAAAATGATGCAATTTTAGTTAGTTAACAAAACACTATTATCATAAATTTTCATATTTACGCGTCACTGATGTAAATTATAGAATATCGTTTCAATTAATCAATATTCTTCTATTACATAAAGAATGATAAAAAAAGAAAACATTAAAATTATTCCATTTTCATTATAATATAATGCTCATCTTTATATTATATTTATTTATCCATAATATCTTTTTTTTGTTTTTACTTATTTTTGTACTTTTATACAATTGATTTTAAAAAGAAAATCGAAAAAAAAAGGAAAATTATCGGTGGATTTTTCTCCAATTTCTCTTATACGAATTAAATTTTTCAGGAAAAAAATATAAAATTTAAAAAAAAATAAAAAAAACAAAAATTAAATCAATATATTTTTCTTTACACGATTCAAATTTCGTAGGCGGAAAGAATATAAAACCTATCCTAAAAAAAAAATCGAAATTAAACAAGCAAATCTATAGATTCGATAAAAAAAAAAAAAGAAAAATCATAGATTATACGATTTAAATATCGCGAGTGAATAGAATATAGAAATTGAATTTCGCGCGAAAGAATTGAAAAAGCGGAAGAACTCAATGGCTGACAAACGAAAATAGCGGGCAACTTCTACCTCGAACGCACGTATATTGCAATTTCGTGCAATCTGCCGAGCGGTAACGTGACACCTTTATGTAATCGAGGAGTAACAAGCTGTTCCACGTTTACTTCCACATATTTTCAAAACACTCTCGAGTATCGCGAGTTTTTCATCGTTAGTAGTAAACACAATTCTTTTTATTTTCTTATAATTTATGTCGATTATAAAGCACACACTAACACACACTTGACATATCGAATTTATAAACGAGTTAGAAACGAATAATTTCGTTTAACAAGAATCGCATTTTTTAAATAATCGAATTGTACGTATGTGACGGTTATTTATACATATATATTAAGCATCTTAATATATATGGATAATATCTCACGGACTATTGTTTGATTAAATAATGAGAATCGAGTTCGCAATATTAAATTCAAATACGATCGTGTTGGTAATTCAATCGATGTTTTGAATCAGTAATAACGATATTGAAAAGTCATGATCAAATTTCGATTATGAAATAAATTAATTTTAAATGATTAAATTTAATATTAAATTTAACCTATAAAATTTGTTTAATTTATTGAAATAATTTTGATTGAATCTAATTATTTATTTTAAAATTCTCTTTCTTGAAAAATCCTCCATGGAAAAATCAATTTTTTCTAAAAAAAAAATATTTAAAAAATATCAAAAATATCAATCACTCTTTCCCTCAAATCGAAAAATCTCATCAAAAATGTTTTCCAAATACTCGCAATGAAACCACAAAAAGACACTTCGAATCGAAACGCGAGAAACAATAATGCGAGAAAATATTCTAAAACGACACTTGTCTCTTCCATTCGAACGCGATTTTAAACGGATTTTCGTGAATTGGCAGGACAACCTGTTGAATCTTAATCCTTGACTCTAACAACACCACGAATCCTACCATTATTTCCATCTTTACATAACCTCTATTCAAAATTGTCCGTTTCAAAAGTTAAAAACGTGCACTCACTTTTTTCCAGCATCTGTTCGAAATCTGTACACGCACGAGAGATGGATTACAAACGAAGCTCGAGTGATGACCGAGGACTGAGAAGCGTCGCGACGCCCGATACCCACCACGACGCCATCGAAACGATTTCTACGCGTCGTTCAACTACGCAGAAGCCACCGATTCAGAATAGTCGTGTGACGCGTCTTCTCCGGTTCGTGGTTCGTACCGAACTGATCGAAATGTAAACGTTTCGAAAGGGGCGTGTAATATTTCGATCGTTTTAAGAACGTCGCTCGATTGCAAATGTTTACAAACGGCGTACATGTGAATTTGAATTTCGTAAGATGGTTCCGATTAGGTTATGGTGCGTGCGTACATTTTTTATTTTCGATTGTTTTAAAAACTCGATCGATTTACACAATGGTGCGTGAAGATTTAATTTATTTCAAATAATTTTTATTAGATTATTGAAAGATAATTAGTGAAATATATATATATATACTTTATGTTTTATATGTGTTTATATATGTGTATGTTTTACGTATAGGATGTTGATATCATCTTATTTGCAATTAATATAGGAACTTTTGTATTTAAATCAATCTTAAAAAAATGTATTTCACAAATATATTAACAATCACTTAATATACTATTTTTATTCTTTTATTCTTCGATTGTTTGATATCTTTTTAATAATAATAATAATAATTTAAAAAGAATTCTTAAATTATTAACGAACTTTTTAAATTTTATAGTAATATATTTAGTAATATATAGTAATATATTTGATAATTAGATCTTTGTGTAAAAATTATGTAAGTATAATTATATTTATATAAAAATAAAAAAAAAAGTCCAATTTCTAATAAGGGAGCTCTGCTCTTCCTACTTCCACTATTTCTAATTAATGTAAATTTGCATTACGTCAGGAGTAATAAAGCCTCATGAATAACAAGTGAGCGAGGAGTCAAGTATCTCAGTGTTAATAAAATAGTTGTATATTTTTTTATTTTAACGTTATAAATGAACCTTTCTTGCAATATTAAATTTGTTAAGAAAAAATTAGAAATTGTGATTTTTTTTTTTTTATTAAAATTCGGTATTCATTGCCGTTTTTAATTTTAAAAAATCGTCGAATTAAAAAAAAAGAGAGAAGAGAAAAAATTTTTTTTATGAAAGATCAAGCTTCTTTCATCCGAGATGCATAATTAAGCATTAAAATAATTAAATTGTACACGCAATATGAAATAACAACCTACTCAACCTAATTAACCAACTATTTCGAAACACGAGAAAGAAAATCTTTTTTTTTTCAATTTATAATTTCTAAACAAATTATTTTCGTGTCTAAAATATTGAGAATTATATTTAATTTAATTTATATGCTTGTAATTATTTCCAGCTCATTCAATATTTCCATAAATTATCCATCGATTTATAAGTAAAATACATGCTGGGATTAACTAAGCAAAGTAATGAAACGCACCTTTACCAAATAGAAATCCTTTGCCGAATTTCAAAGCACTGTCAATCTCGTGCAGAAGACCATACTCATTGTCAGTTTCCTTTGTCGCAAAATTACAACCATATCCTTTAAAAAAAGCAAACCGAAGCAGGTCCAAAAAAAAAAAAATTAAATAAAATAAAATAAATAAAAGATATATTACAGTCTTATTACAATTTTATTATTTATTACTTTAAAATGCAGATTGGTGAAATAAAAAAGCGTTATTCGCTTGTGGAATATTTATAATTTTTTCTTTCTTCAAATATGATGTCAGAGTTGTGAGACTTTAAATTAGACAATAATTCTTTATTTTTAAAAATAAAGAACCGGTTGAAGATTAAATTGTAAACTGTTTAAATTTATAATTTTCCATTTATTGATATAAATTATGTATCTTATTATAAATATTCCACGATATTCTAAAATATATTCTATATTATTAAGTCAGTACTAGCCAAGTGCGTTACATAGTTATAAAGCGATGCACAGAGATGCATAGACAGACAATGACCTCAAATGATTAAAAATAAAATAAATAAACGTATTATTGGATGGAGGAATGAAGAATGGGCCTGATTTTCTTCCTTCGTTGAAAAAGCTCTGCTTAATATTTAAAAAATAAAAATTTATCCTCAATTTTTCAAATATTTTATTTTGCATAAAAATATAATTTTAAAAATTCCATTTCCATTCGATTTGAAATATATTTCATCAAAATCCAAATAAATTGAATTTACCAGATATAATATTACAAATTGCACGAAAAAATTCTACAAAGCACTAATAATATTGACACCGATTCTGGCCAAAACAAATTTGAAGCCAGGCTACAAAATATCTGTGACGTTAACTGGGTCACTCGCTCAGAAACTACTGCTATCTATACATCCTCTATCCGCAAACAAATCCACTCCACCTCCAAACGCAAAACGTATTAATTTCGAAAAATAAATCTAATTTCCACGATTTTTATTTTCATTGAAAATCATATTTTTCGAAATCGAAAATAAATAAAATACAATCCTTCCCGAATTATTTTCAAAATAAAAAAATTCCCTTCCATTAATTATTCCAAAATGGAACATATCATTCATTTTATATACTACACGATTACCACAACGACAGAAACATTTTTATATTTCCATACAAAAGATCATATCTATGATAATTCTGACATGATACGTTAAATATTCCATGTACGCAACCTAAAGAGTAAAATATCGAAAAAGGCCAGTTAACCATCACTTCCCGCCACTCATCACGTTAAGAAATATTTACTTCGAACGTCTATTTCGATTCCTTCTTCCCACCTCGTTCTAGTTCTGGTGGGGGATCGAAAAGGGTGAAGGTCTCGAGGGAGGAGAGGGGAGGGGAGAGGATTGATGTACGCGTGTCGCAATTCGTCGGAAATAGCGAAAATCGAGGGAGGACCGGTTCCTAAGCCGCGAAGCTGGACGTTTTACTACGAGAGAGAAGCTGGTGCCCTATTTTTCCCGAGACCTATATTTAGATTCTCATTCTCGAATGAATCATAATCGCGTTGCAACCGACCAGGCTCGGACATTCGGAGGAGAAATAAATCGTTGAGTTTTGGACGTAAATTGGATCCTTCGGTGGTGGGGAGGAAGGAAAGGAAGGGGAAGGAAGGGAGGGGGGAGTTGTTAGTAAGGGCATTTAACTTTTTTGTCTCTAATAAAATTATATATATATAGTTTCGTCGTTTATCTTAATTGTGAGTACTTATTATTATTTTTGATCAATTATTGCTAGTATACATTTTATGCTTTCAATCGTTCAAGTGTTAGTTTACGTTAATGTTTCGATTCTTAATGATTATTGCTTGCACATATTTTTACATTTACTCCCAAGTAAATGTTACTTTTTTTTTTTTAATTTTATGAATAATTATCGTTAGTTTCTTGAACCTAGTGTGTTTTTTTTTAAATCCCGAATAATTATTACCAATGCTTTTCATAAAAGCGCGTCTTCGATATTTAATAAAAAAATTTTTAAAATAAAAATCCGATAAAATTTTTACTACTCGAAATTTTCTATATATATATTATTCCCATAGCGGTATGCTTTCCAATCGGTCCAGATATTTCTCTAACTTGTGTTGTGTCACGAGAATAAAAATAGTACGTAAAATTTTACCATTTATATAGAACGTATAAAAATTTACGACGGCGGAAATTCTTATAGAGTTTGGTCTCGGCGTTCTAGTTGTAACGATAACCTACGACCCACGCGAAACCTAACAAACTTATCTCTCGGCATTTCCCACTTTATTAGCGGGAAAACGATCCGCTCTTCCCGTCTATCGATTCATCGTATAATACCCTTTCTGCCATCCTATTTCACGTTTCATTGTGACGAGTAATAAGGAGTTTAAACCCCTTTTGAAATAACTTTTTTTTCCAATTAAATCTCCCTCTCGTTATTAAATTATATCCGTGTGTGGAAAAACAGGTAATACGAATAACGAGTTAAGTAATTGTTTCGTCGAATATTTAAATTTTTTGTTTATAAAAGTGAAAATCAAAATTATATTTCCCCGACGAATATCTTCAGTATAAATTAATATAATTCGATAAATTTTTCAAAGGGGAGGAATAAACTAGATATAAAATGATCGTCAATTAAAAAAAAAAAAAAAATCCAATTCGTCGAGTTAGTAACGAGCAATACGACAAGCACTCGGATACCTACCCACAACAATGCAATCCAATTTTACGAAACGTGCCATTAGTAATTGTTACATCCAATATTCGACACGCCTCTCTCTCGTGTATACCTCAAAAAAAAAAAACAGGAAAAACTAAAAAAAAATCCAAAAATCCAGGCGATCAATCTCGAAATATTTCAATCCTCAGCAAAAAAAAAAAAAAAAAAAAACAACGGCGAGATATAAACACAGCACAATCCTCCATTTTTCACCTGGACTCACCATCGTCGAAATTGGCGGGCATATCGAGGAATTCTTGCAGATGCTTGGGCAATTTTTTCGAGTCCTCGAACTCCTTTCCATCGATCAAACATTTCGCCTTTACGACACCCTCCTCCTCCTCCTCCTCCTCCTCCTCCTCTTTCTTCTTCTCCACTCTTTTCTCCCCCCCTTCTCTCTCCCTTCCCCCTCTACCGCCACCTTTCTTATCCTTCTCACTCTCCGTCTCGCTCTCGTCCAAATTAATCCCAAATTTGTTCAACCTGTTCCTCGCCTTCTCGATGAACTCCCTCTCGACGATGGTCATACCGCTCTTATCGCTCTTATGATCGAATTTCTTAAGATCCTCGTGCGTGCTGATCTTCACCACCTTGTGGTGCTTCCGCTCCTCTCGTTCCATGACCTTGTGCACGTACTCGTCGTACATCCGTCTACGAAACGCCTCGCCGTTCACCACCACCGAGGACGAGGACCTCGGTCTCTCCTCGATTCTCACCATTTTCCCAACCTTACCGATCCTCCTCCCGCCATCCACCTCCTCCTTCCCACCGGTTCCTCCTCCCCAACGCTTCAACTCCCCCTCCCCCTCCCCCTCCTTGGCAATCACCGAATCACGCGTCCGCTCCACCATCCTCTCCCGAGTCTCTCCCTCGTGGAAACCGTTCTCCTCTCCTCGATCCAAATCTCCACGCCCGCGTTCCTTCGATCTCTCCTTCGATCCCTCCTCCCATTTCTCGCTCTCCACCTTCCTGGAATCGTCATTGGCCTCGTCCCCTCGTTTCCAAAAAGAACTTTCCTCCTCCTCCTCCTCTTTTTTGCTCCTTCTTCCATCTCCCCTCTTTTCCCTCGTTTGGGCGCGATATTCCTCCAACGCCTCCCTCTCCTCCTCCTCCGCCAATATCACGTTCTTCAACTGATTCTCCAACAATTCTATGTACCTCAACTGGCGCGCGACGTATCGTCGAGAAGGCAACGAGCCACGTGCTCCCTCCAATTGTTCCTCGGTCTCGTTCTGAAGTTTCTTCAACTCCTCCATGATCTCGGCTGCGGCCACGTGTTTCACGCCCTCCTCGTTCCCGTATCTGCGCGGCTCCAGGTGGCTTCTGGGCGGGTTCTGGTCGAAAATGCTGGTCGTGTCGATGCAAGACCTGTCCACGCTCACAACGCGCTTCGCTCTCGGCGGCACCTCCACCCTGTCGTCGATCAACGCCGGGTTCACGTTGTAACGCGGCTCGCGCCTCGATTTCTCCATCTTCCCGCTCTTCACAGGACTTCTCTTTCCCAACGGCGTCCAACTTCTTAAACAAGGATTCTCCATGGAGGAGGAGTCGATGATGGCGCCGTCCAACGTCAGAGGACTCTTCCTGAACGGCGTCGAGCTCCTTAAAGGCGGATCCGGCCTCTGAGGAGGGTTCTCCATGGAGGAGGAGTCGATCGTGGCGTTGTCCAACGTCAGAGGACTCTTCCTGAACGGCGTCGAGCTCCTTAAAGGCGGATCCGGCCTCTGAGGAGGATTCTCCATGGAGGAGGAGTCGACGAAGTGAACCGATTTGTCGATGATGGCGCTGTTCAACGTTAAAGGACTCTTTCTGAACGGCGTCGAGCTTCTGAAAGGAGGATTCTCCGTGGAGGAAGAGTCGATAATGGCGCTGTTGAACGTCAGAGGACTCTTTGTGAACGGAGGATCCGGCCTCTTGGGAGGATTGTCCATCGAAGAGGAGTCGATAATGGCGCTGTTGAACGTGAAAGGACTCTTTCTGAACGGCGTCGAGCTTCTTAAAGGCGGATCCGGCCTCTGAGGAGGGTTCTCCATGGAGGAGGAGTCGACGAAGTGAACCGATTTGTCGATGACGGCGCTGTTCAACGTTGAAGAAGGACTCTTGCCGAACGGCGTCGAGGAAGAAGAGTAGTGGACAGATCGAGGCATGTCTAACCGTTTAACGATCGCGCTCGATGCAACGAGTGGCTCGTTATCGCGCTCCTGCCCCCCCTCGCCCGACGATTCTATTAATAAATCATCGGGGAGCGGTGTCGCGTGGCGAGGCGATCTCGACGACTGACGATCGAGCCTGGCCAAGTTCAGCCAGTCGCACAACCTAGTGACTTTCGCACGCCGCTGCCGACCACTGTCAAAGGTCGGGACCCCGTCCGCGTTACGGGATCCCGATTGGCTCGATTCCTCGAACGTGACCGATTTGGTGCCGCTCCTCTTATCCGAATTCTCCTTGATAATTTCCAACAATCTGTTCCCCCTCTCGTCTCCTTTCCACTCTTCCGCCCCGTGTTTACTATTCTTCTCCTCCTTCGGGCCCACCACCTCCACCCGATATCTGGCGGGGGGGACTCGGGGAGGAGGTTCCTCGTCGAAGTAATTGCGCCTGTTGATGAACTTTTCGTGCAAATCGAGCAAATTGTCCGCCGTTGCCTTTATCTCGGTTCTCCGTTGGGACGGGGAAAGGCAGACGAGCAGGTTGGGATCCGTCGAGGTCGATAAACCGAGCCAAGTATTCTTCGTATTCTCGTCGACACGGTTCAAAGATGTCGTAGCTTTTTGCGCGGTGCGAATCCCTCTAGTTGGAAATTTCGATACCTCGGATCCTAGATTCTCGAAAACGTTAAATCTCGGCACGGTGATCTCGTTGATCACGTGGAGACCGTACGGCATGGACAAGATTTTCTTGATGCAAATATCTTTCAACGATTCAACGGGACCCTCGTCGAAATTGTTACTTTTACTCTTCCGGTAAGTAGAACCACTCTCGATCGGTACGTAGTAGAGGTCCTGGGAGGCGGGAGTGGGGGGTACTCCGCGCGACGATTCCATCTCTCGTCTCAATTTGCTTTTCCTCGCCTCCTCGGTTATTATGGAGAATATGTCCACTTGCCACGCTTCCATAGGGCCGTGGAACGCGGTGGTAGGATCGGTGATGGTGGACGAATCCGATATTTTCTGGGAGGGAGAATCCTTTCCCCTTCCATCTTGTTTGCGCGCGCGATGAGATCGCGCCTCGTCGTTGCTCAGAGTGGAATTTAATATTTCGGAAGGAGTGTCGCGCCTATCCTTTTCCTTTCTCTCGTCATGGCTAGTTTTGAACGCGGGAGATTGTAGTTCATCGTCGGACATACGAGTGGAATACTTGTAAATCTCCTCGAATTCTTCCTCGCTCGTAGTGAGTTCCCTCGAACTTTCCATCTTGTTACCGCGCTCTTTGTCGCCAGTCGTCGTTTCGACGGTCGTCGTGCTCGACGTCTCGTTCTTCACGATCTTCTTGTGAACGCGATGATGACGAGAGTGCACCTCTTGTCTCGGTCCAACCTCGTCTCCCCTCCCATTCTTGTCACAAATCTTTTTCGTTCTTTCCTTCTCTTTCTCGGAAATCTTCGCTTTGTCCGGTTTTCCGGTCGATTCCACGTTGATCTTCACTATTCTTTCGACAGGTCTCCCCTCGGAAACCTTTTTCCTTTCTTCCTGTTTCTCAGAAATTTTCACCATTCTTTCTATAGGTTTATCCACGCTCTGTTTTATCGACGTGGACTCTAGTGACTTTTTGTGTAATTCGTACGAAATCTTTTCTTCCTCTTCACATTTCTTGGAAATCTTCGTTTTATCCGGTTTTTCGATGGACGATTCAACGTTAATTTTCACTATTCTTTCGACAGGTTTTTCGTCAGAAATCTTTTTCCTTTCTTCCTGTTTCTCAGAAATTTTCACCATTCTTTCTATAGGTTTGTCCACGCTCTGTTTTATCGATATGGACTCTAAGGACTTTTCGTGTGATTCGTACGAAACCTTTTTCCTTTCTTCCTCTTCACATTTCTTGGAAACCTTCGTTTTATCAGATTCATCGGACGATTCAACGTTAATTTTCACTATTCTTTCGACAGGTTTCCCGTCAGAAAGCTTTTTCCTTTCTTCCTCTTTCTCAGAAATTTTCACTTTATCCGGTTTTTCAGTGGACGATTCTACGTTAATTTTCACTATTCTTTCCACAGGTTTGTCTACACTCTGTTTCATCGATATAGACTCTAGTGACTTTTCGTGTAATTCGTACGAAACCTTTTTCCTTTCTTCCTCTTCACATTTCTTGGAAATCTTCGTTTTGTCAGATTCATCGGTGGACGATTCAACGTTAATTTTCACTATTCTTTCGACAGGTTTTTCATGAGAAATCTTTTTCCTTTCTTTCTCTTTCTCAGAAATTTTCACTTTATCAGATTTGTCGATAGAAGATGGCTCCATGACAATTTTCACTATCCTTTCCACAGGTTTCTCTACACTCTGTTTTATCGACATGGATTCTAGTGACTTTTCATGTAATTCGTACGAAACCTTTTCTTCCTCTTCACATTTCTTGGAAATCTTCGTTTTGTCCGATTTTTCGCTGGACGATTCTACGTTAATTTTCACTATTTTTTCCACAGGTTTTCCGTCAGAAATCTTTTTCCTTTCTTTTTCTTCAAATTTCTCGGAAATTCTCGCTTCGTCGGATTCGTCGATCGTAGACGATTCCACGTCAATTTTCACTATTCGTTCCACGGGTGCGTTCGCGCTTCGTTTCGAAATGGACGCCGTTGATTCTTCCCGCGTCTCTCGAGATTCCACGTCAATTTTCTCTATTCTTTCCACGGATTCTCTCTCTCCAAGTTTCGAACTCGTACCGGAGCCCAACGATTTTTCCTCCCGACATTGCTCCATGACAATTTTCGCTACTCCTTTCACGGGTAGCCCGTCCACGCTCTGTTTCGTACACGACACGGACACCGGCGATTTTTCGCGTGTCTCTCGACGCAAGTAGTCACGCTTTATTTCAGAACTTGCGCCATTGCCAAGCCTGGCGCCATTCTCCACGTACTTGCGCAACTCGTCCGTGTTGTCGTCGTTCTCGAGACAAACACTCCTCCCCCCAAACTCCTTCAAATCGTCCAAGATGTTGTCCCTCTCGGATAGGGAGACGGTGTCCACGTTGCTTAAGGTGTCGCGAATATTTTCGACGCCAGCGTCACTCTGAGATATTATCGTCAATAATGTTCTCGTGGTGCCAATATTTTCCCTCGTCGTCCAACTTTCCGTGGAATCTCGATGCAATCCCGAGGAGGTAGCTGTGTCCTCCATCTCCCCAATGCTCTCTTTGCTCTCCCTTTTTTCACGGAGCGGAGACGATCTTTCTTGGAAATCGAGGCTGGACGATCTTTTCGGCGGCGTTGGAGGACGTTTCCTCTTCGTTCCCGTCGTGTCGCGTGAAATTTCGTACGAATCTTTGGTCAACGAAGACACTTCTTCGCTCGTGATTTTTCTCAAAATTGATTTCGAGATCGATGATTCGTGATAACTCGTCGTCGATCGCTTATTTTGCTCCAATTTTTCGTTAGTTTCGTTTAATCGATCCGATTCCTCGTCGGTCTTGGAAATTTGCGCGATATTATTTTTCGAAGATGGTTCTTCTTCTTCTTCTTTTTTTAGAAATTGCTTAGTCAACGTTTCGCTTTTGGAATCTATGTCATCTTCCGTTAATTTTGACTTCACGGTTAATGCCTCGAAATCTTCTGCTTCACTTTCCAAATCCAATTTTCCTCCCTCCACAGATTTCTCGATTTTTCTATCACCGTCTATTTTTAATACCTCGATTTCTTTCGATTTCACCATCGAAACGTCTCGATTTTCGGTCAATTTCGATTCTTCTTCTATACTCTCTACGTTTTCCGTCACAGTGCGTTCACTGATGTTTGAAGTGTCGGAAATACGATAGTGTATCGATTTCATATCGATTAACGTTTCATCCGTTTCGTCTAATTTTCCTTTTTTATCGACAGAAATTTTCTCTTCAATTTTTAACTCGGATTCATTTAGATTCGTGTTTTCATTATTTGTTTCCAATATCTCACTTTCAATTACTTTTTCAGACTTTTCTTCACGCTCTTCCTTTCTTTTCTTTCTCTCCACATATTCCTTTCCATCACTTATCTTTATGCTTTTCCTTTCTAATTCCTCTTCCTCCAACGTTCTTTCTACTATAGATTCTCCTCCATTACTAATTTCCTTTTCCTTTAATATTTCTCCTTTTATAGATTCTTTTCCATTACTCATTTCCACATTCTCCTTTTCTTTTACTATTTCTCTTTCTATAGATACTCTTCCATTACTTATCTCCTTTTTCTTCAATATTTCTCCTTCTATAGATTCTCCTCCATTACTAATCTCCATATTCTCCTTTTCCTTTAATATCCCTTCTTCTCCATTAAAATCTCCTCCATTATTAATCTTCTTTTCCTTTAATATTCCTCTTTCTATAAATTCTTCTCCATTATTAACCTCCATATTCTCTTTTTCCTTCAATATTTCTTCTTCTATAGATTCTCCTCTATTATTAACCTCCACATTCTCCTTTTCCTTTAATATCCCTTCTTCTATAAATTCTCCTCCATTACTAATCTCCTTTTCCTTCAATATTCCTCCTTCTGTAACTTCTTCTCCATTACTAACCTTCTTTTCCTTCAATATTACTTTTTCTATAGATTCTCTTTCATCACTAATCTCCACATTTTCCTTTTCCTTCTCCAATTCCTCTTTCAACGTTCCTTCTTCTATAATTTCTTCTCCACCACAAATCTTCACGTTTTCCCTTTCTTTCTCCAATTCCTCTTTTTTCAACATTCCTTCCTCCACAGTTTCTCCTCCACCACAAATCTCCATTTTTTCCTTTTCCTTCTCCAATTCCTCTTTCAACGTTCCTTCTTCTATAATTTCTTCTCCACCACAAATCTTCACACTTTCCTTTTCCTTCTCCAATTCCTCTTCTTTCAACGTTCCTTCCTTCACAATTTCTTCTCTATCACAAATCTCCACCTTTTCCTTTTCTTTCTCCAATTCCTCTTCTTTCAATTTTCCTTCCTCCACAGTTTCTCCTTCATCACAAGTCTCCATCTTTTCCTTTTCCTTCTCCAATTCCTCTTTCAACGTTCCTTCTTCTATAATTTCTTCTCCATCACAAATCTTCACACTTTCCTTTTCTTTCTTCAATTCCTCTTCTTTCAACGTTTTTTCCTTCATAGTTTCTTCTCTATCACAAATCTCCACCTTTTCCTTTTCTTTCTCCAATTCCTCTTTCAACGTTCCTTCTTCTATAATTTCTTCTCCACCACAAATCTTCACGTTTTCCCTTTCCTTCTCCAATTCCTCTTCTTTCAACATTCCTTCCTCCACAGTTTCCCTTTCACCACAAATCCCCACACTTTCCCTTTCCTTCTCCAAACCTTCTCCAGGATCCTCCTTCTCCCTCTCCTCCATCTCCTCCTCCCCGTCCACGCACGTCACACTTATCCTCACCCCGCCACCGCCACCCACCCCTTCCCCCAAATCCTCCTCCCCTCTCGCCCAACACCTCTCCTCCCTCCGATATTTACCGATCTCCTCGTTGATAAAGTCCCTGATATGCTGCTCCTCGTCCTCCGACAACTTCTCGCCCTCCTCCTGAATAATGTCCAAGAACCTGTTGGCCGCCTGCGAGTGCCCGTAACCCGCCTCCCGCCTCCTCCTCTTCGCACCCCCCCTCTTCTCCTCCTCGCACACACCCCTCCAATCACCCCCCTCCTCCCCCGCGTAACACGGCAACTTGAGGCCCTCGATGAACCTCCTCAGCTTCCTCTCCACGTCCCGCGGCATCACCGTGTCCCAACACTGCCCCCTCCCTCCCCCCTCCCCCTCCCCCTCCCCCTCCCTCGAAACGGAACCCGTCCCCCCGAACTTCCCGCCAGCCTCCCTCTCCGCGTCCGATTCCATCTCGACGATCACCGGCTGCCTAACGTTATCGACCTCGGCCACCTCGCAGTCGGTCACGTCGCGAATCTGCAATCCCTCCCCGTTCCCCGCCCACCTCGCGTCCGCGGCGGAATTATCGGCCGCCGTAGACGGAATTTCGGGCGGTGGGGGGAAAGCGTCGAGCGGCTCGGACACGGTGACCACCACCGTCCCCTCGCCCCCCTTCCCCGAACCACCGCTCGTCTCCGTCTCTACTATACCGACCCCCCTAATGTGGCCCATTCTCGCCTCCAACGGTGTGCTGCTTATAGTCGTTATCCTCATCACCTTCACGCTCGGCTCTATCGTCCCCGTTTCTATCCTGCGTCTATCCCCCTTGCTCAGTAGGGAGGAGGATCGATGCCCACGACTCGAGGTTGTCGCCTCGACGTTATCTGTTTCTCCGTGTTCCACGTCGATCCTCCCCCCCTCGATCGTTTCCCTCGAGTCGTCGTCGTTGCTGCGATGATTCGTTTTATCGCCGCCACCACGCCTCCTGCCCCGACCCCTTCGATTTCGACGATTTTTACCGTGGGTGGGCATGCTGACCTCCTCCTCCTCCTCCTCCTCCTCCTTCTTCTTCTTCTTCTTCTCCTCCTCCTCCTCGTCGTCGATCGTCGAAGATTCGTTCGATCCTACGTACAAATCTGGCGCACAATCTTTTCTGTCCTCCAGTCGGTTTCGCTTTCTTGTTATTTTTTTTGCTCTATTCCTGTGCTCGCGCGAGAGAAGGAATATCGCCCTCGACGAGGTTTCGAATTAGTTTTTCGACGACGAGTAGTACGAGGTTGGCTCGGGTATTTTACGTGATTGGATTGGATTTTGCCCGAGTTTGAACGCGAGTTGAATGTAACCCCGTGTTTCCGTGGCGAACGAGGGATTATAAGAGGGAGGATAATTCTTTCCTTTCTGTGTTTACTATGGGAAGAATCGTTTAAGTTCGAAGCACGGCGAGTGTAAGCGTGGATATTAGAATTTTAAGGCTGATCGAAATATATTAATCGAATCGAGGAGAGGGTGATTATATCGAATACCTTTTCTCGTAGCGATGAGATTAGAGACGAGGTAATATAAATTTGCGAGGAATAATCCTTATTAGAAGAAAGAGGAATTTTACGCTTAATAATGTTACGCGTTTTTAATTTTACATCCGTGAAATTTTTAAACGGTGTTACGATGATTACGATCTGGTTAGTCGAAACTACGTATGTGCGTATTTATATTTTTCGAACGAGAGAATGAAGAAAAAGAAATTTGACGTAGTCTTGCGATCGTGCAACAAGCAATGACCCAATTTGCCAGACCAGCATTCCAATGTATCGGCTAAAGTGTGGTCGAAGAGGAGAAATAGGGAAATACTCACTTTTCTTGGCTTCGTCCCGTTGCTGGATCAACGAACTCTTTGGGCCACCGTTCTGATTGGCGTAGCTCTGATCGGGTTTTGCGTCATCTGAAAAATAAATTTCACGTCAAACCATCGAATTGCTAATTTAAAGTGGCAAAATCGAGAAAAGAATCTGATGCGAAAGAAAAAGAGTCGATTTCAACAGAGTTCTACCTTATCTAAGCAGTTACACTACTTTATCCAGCGAGTTGATATCGCGCTTTAATTTGAAATTACAAGTGATATTTGTTTCCTGTAATCGATCGATTTTTCCTTTTCTCTCCTCTTTTATTTAATCTCGGACAAACTTCAGAATTTTCAAATCACTTATTATACATTCTATTTCTTATTATCCATATACTTTATTCCTTTACCATGAATTTATTTATCATGTATTTATTAATTATACTTATTATTTATTAATTAAAAACAAATTAACGTTAAAAATATTGCTTCGAAAAATATATATATATATATAATCCCTATTCCTAAAAATTAAGACACGTATCCGAGATAATGAGTAACGATCGGACGGATTAACTCGTCCTTCCTTATCGACCTTAAGAAATTTTTCAAAAAAATGCACAAAACTCAAATAACGATTGGAACTCGTGCGGACCTGATTCATACGAAATCCATCGCGCTAGATCCGCGTGTCCGGTGACAGTCGGTTACGAATTCGGAACGAGATGGACCACAAATCAGCGGCATGGCCTGTAAGGTCCATGAATCGCGGGAATGGACTGAGCGCGAACAGATCCGCCACCCGTGAAACACGCCACTCGTGTCCCCACCCACGCGTGCCGATCCTCCTGTCCGCCCGTGTATCGCCAACGTGTATTGTTTGTATACATGCTTATACGAATATCAGGGTTTCTCAAATTATTTTTTTTTCCCTCTATTCACGTTTTGAGCCATCAAATAATAAAGTAGTAAGCAAAGTAACAAAAGTAAGTGATGGTGAGAAAAAAGTATCGTGGTAGAATGAAAATTTTTGTGAAACTAAATTCAAGAAAATAGAATCGAAACAAAGATCTGTTTGAAATATATATATTTTGATTGTGTTTGAATATTTTATATTTTTTCGCATTACGAATTCTTTGGAAAATTTATTATCGTTTTGTCGAGAGATATTCGCGAATCTCTCGAGTTGGAATGGTTTTTTACGTGTAAATTGGTAAATTCGTGTAAATTGTTGAAAAAGTATGATTATAATTCATCGACGAGGAGATTACAAATTTAGCCGTGAAAAACGGTGAAAATAAATTATTTAAGGGGAAACGTATCGTTAGCAAAAATAAATTTATCCATTGAAATAAATTCTGCAATGTCGCGCATTGGAATATATTGGACAGAAAATATCGCGATGCGAATGGATCGTTGGGATTGTGCTAGATAAAATGAAGTACGTACACCTCTTGTTTACAAAGTTCATAAACCTGCCATGAATATTTAATACCATCCACTGTGCCATAATTTGAAATTAAGCTGCCTAAAGTTTGTAATAAACGACATCTAAGCATGTAACCAAAAATAATCAAATCTAAATTCAAAGTTCCAATGATAAAACAATGATGAGAAAAAAAATTATAAAATAAATCGCAAGACTGATTTAAATTAATTTTCCCAATCGTTCGTAAAGAAGATCGATACTCGAATGGTACTCTATCGGTAAATCCCATTAAACGCGTCGCAAAATTATAGAATAATCTTTCGCATGGACGCTTTTAAAAAAATTACTAGAAAAACTAAAATTCTGAACAATTATTGTTCGTAATTCCAAAACATAGGAAAACCGATTCTCTATCCTATCGGTGAATAAAAATTTGAGAAACGCTGCGCGTATCAAGTGACAAAGTTCTCGTACGCGAATTCGAGGTACGCATGCGCGGCCAGACCCCTGAATGACGTTTTTCGGTGAAGCGTGTGCGCATATACGGATCATATGTGCATTAAAACACAACCGCGCCTCGTCTGTGGTGCGAAACACAGTTGCACAAACACGTTCCAACAATCTTTGTGGAAGGATCTGATACACGTCGTCGCACGAGGTGCGTGTATACCTCCTCTTCGCCCCTCCGCCTCTCACGTGGTTCATGAATAGCGCCACTTCCGAGTTGAACTTCCTTCCGTGTAAACAATGGCGGGAGAACCGACTGCTGTCCCGAGCACACCCATCCATTTTCCACACTTTTCATTACATCACGTGTATAGACACACGCCCGAATTCGATTGGAAATAGTTCGAACGATTAGAATCTAAATCGGTTGTTGCATTCTCTCTTTTTTAACCCTCTTCTTTGATTTGATAAATATTAACTTTGGAATGGCACGATAGGATTTTTCGTTATTTCGATTACACTTTCCTTTTTTTTTTTAAATCAATTTCTTTTTTTTTTTTGGAGGGAAGGAAATATTTTTAAATTGAGTCTCCCTATTTTTTGGATAAAATATAATGCATCGATTATAAAAATTATAACTTATGAAAATCTTATCTTCCCACAGCTTTTCCAAAGTTTCTATACTTTGAAAAAATCAAAGTGGCCAGAAGGAAGAGACGGAAGAGACTCGTATCTTGAAAAGAAGAACGTCGGGAAAATGAGACAAGAAAGAGAATAATTTTGACGTCTCGACGTTCGAACATCTTACGTCGTTTCGCTTCCCTTTGTTGCTCAAAGGTGAACGACTCTCTAATTAGGTTTTGCTCCTCTGAGATTTCAAAAGCGACTCTTCTCCAGATATAATGCAACGACTCCCCAGGGCTCAGACGCTAGTTCTCGCAAACATTATTGATTTACATCACGCGAAAGGGATGATAAAAGAGTGAAACAGTTTCTTATCCCGTCTCATAATTTATAAATATCTTCTCTTTTTGATCTAAAAAAAAAAAAAGAAAAAAAAATAGATTTTAAAAAAATCGATAATAAAATTCGTCAAAAAGCAAAAAATCTAAAAATCGTATAAAAATTAAACGAGTTTTCCAATCGAATAATAAAAAAAAAATTTGTCGAAGAAGAATTTAAAATAATTAATCGATTTTAAAAGTTTGCGTGAGTAGACATTATTTTTAAAATTATCTAATATTTTTAAATTTAGGAAATTTTTATTTTTTCTAAATTTAAATTTAGGAAAATTAGGAAATTATTCTCGTTAAAAATAAATTCTTCCTCTATCTATTATTTATTTTTTTCTCCTTCTCTCTCTCTCTCTCTCTCTCTCTCTCTTATCGCGCTGACTCAACTCAACAGAAATCTAAATCTCGTTTCTCTTCCCCGTCCTAACCTTGCACTATAAATTGCCATCAGCGAGACATTATTGCGCTTCTTAATTACGTAATTGGGCCGATGATGAGCTAACGTGAAATTATCGAAGAGTGAAGGACGAAACCGATAATTATAAAAAGTGGGAGCGGCTTTTTGCTGTTGTGCGAGCGGAAAGGAAACACGGTTAATTCGTTCTCGTTATAAAAACATCCGTGTAATAAAGATAAATATTATTAAAGGAAAAAAAAGAAAATGGCGAAAAAATCGAAACGATCTCGAGTCGAGTGCGAGGAGGAAAAAGAAAAAAAAGCTAAAAGAAGAAGAGGAAGAAGAAGGAAAAAATGGAAATTCGAAACGCGACAGAAGAAAATTGAATTTCGTACAGATCTCTCTCTCTCTCTCTCTCTCGTGATATTGGAAATTGTATCTGCAAGAGTATGGCTTTGCAAGCGTTCTTTTGACGTCCATCAATGTATCGAATGTCGAGGCGGATAGTTTTTCCTTTCTTCTTGTTTTATTCGAATAAAGAATTGGAAAAACGGGAGAAATTATTCGTGAAAAAAGGATAGATCGTGTTTTTCCGATTTCGAATATTCGAAAAACCTGAAGAGACTTTTTATATTTAATAATTATTAAATTAAAAATTACGCGTATAATTATTATGTATTATAAAATAAAAGAAATCTAGATTGTTGTTTCTATATATATATATATTCAAAATAATAAATGAAACTACGTTAGAGATTAAAAAATTATCGAAATATAGAAAATATATAATTCATATATTCGAATATTTTATACATTCCCTTTAATCATCACTGCTGAAATTGTTTACAAATTTTTACAAATATCATCCAATTCATTTTTTCAACATGTACATACTTTAATTACTTTTCGAATATCCTTCGAAAATTTTCTTCTCATTATTTCCATATTAGCAATAATTATCTTACAAATAATTTTATAATTTCAAAATTACTAAAATTCAACATGTACATACTTTCAGTTATTGATATCCGAAAAATTCGATTTTCCATATTTTCGAATTATATATTTTCTAATTATCTACGATAATTATGCGCATATTTTGATCGATCAAGATTTCGTTAATACGATCGAGTACGGTGGCGCGGCATATCGGTGATTACAGGAACAATCGGTTCCTCGCGGTGGCAAACGCGATATGGAATAAAATGGACGTTTAGGGTACGTGTTAACGGGAGTTCGATAGGTGCGGCTTGTTGTGTCGCGGCGTCATGGCCCAAGAGGGCCGAGCCCGCGCTCCCATCTTTTGTCCTCTACCTTCGAAACCGCTCAGGGATTCCTCGTACGATCTCGTTCCTCCCTCGATTACCACATTAATCGACCGTTATATAATTTCTACCGACACGCGTCACCGATTTTCCTTCCTTCGTTCCGTGCTTTAATTCGCCCTTTCCGCGTAAATAATCGCATTCAATGTAGTAATAAGAAGAGATCTGATCAATTAGAATCGAGTAGAATAAAAATTTTTAACGATAATTTCTTCCTTTGTTTGTTCGTGCTTTGTTATTTCTTGCTTAAATGGAGAGCATTCGAGTTCAATGCAAATTTTAATAGGGATTATGTAGCTTCTTTGGAGATTTTTTCTACACTAGGATAAAAATTTGAACGATAATTTCTTCCTTTGTTCCATTTGTTGATTTATTAATTCTTGCTGCTTTAAATTGGAAGCATTCGTGTTCAATAAGCTTTAATAGAAATCTTCGAAAAATGTGGAAAAATTTATAAGGAATAATTTGAATATGTGATATAAAAAATAATA